AGCTCCTCGTCGTTGCGGATGGCCAGCTGCAGGTGGCGCGGGATGATGCGCGTCTTCTTGTTGTCGCGGGCCGCGTTGCCCGCCAGCTCCAGGATCTCGGCAGTCAGGTACTCGAGCACCGCCGCCAGGTACACGGGCGCCCCGGCGCCCACCCGCTCGGCGTAGTTGCCTTTGCGCAGCAGCCGGTGCACGCGGCCCACCGGGAACTGCAGGCCCGCGCGCGACGACCGCGACTTGGCCTTCGCCCGCACCTTGCCGCCCTGCTTTCCGCGACCCGACATGCTCGCCTCTCCCCTGAGACTCCCGCAAGGGAAGAGCACACACCGGCTCCTTCCCGGTGGGGGGATGCAGCGCGCCTCCCCAGAACCGCCTTCCCTCCCTGGCTCCCTCTGGGCAGCGTCTTCCCATTGGCTCCCCCGATGACGGGCAGCCTTCGCTCCCAATAGGAACACTAGCCGTGGGACCGCCCTCTGCAGAGCTGACCAATCCACAGGGAAGACTTCTCGTTTTCCCTGACAAAGCCACACACACATATGTGTGTCCTGGGCCGGCGAGCTGGGTGTCTCCAATCCGCACTGGGGTGTCCGCCTGCACGCTTGTTCCCAAGAAAAGAAACGATAAAGAACGGAAGAAGCATGGTTCGGATGGAAAAGTCCCTAAGGGGAGCCCGACACAAGCCACGTTATTTTCAGTCACCATCCCCTTATATGCATGTGAAAGCTACACCATGAATAAGGAAAGACAAACGGAGGCATCGGTATTATGGTGCTGGTGAAGAACCGTGAGCTTCCAGAAGAACAAGTCTATTTTGGAAGAAGCAGAGCTTTAGTGCTGGAGAATGGCGGTGATTGTCTCACCGGACGCGTTGTTAGGAGAAAGCAGCCTCGGGAAAAGGGCACCGTGCCTGTTTAAATAGAGGGTCAGCGGAGAAGAGGGTGATTCTCAAGAGGTGAATGCACACAGTGGCCGCAGCAATGGGCTTAAACAGAACAATGGTGAGGATTAGGCAGGACCCGACCGTGTTTTCTTCTGTTGTAATAAGGTCCCTGTGAGTGTACTTCTTTCGATGCACCTCAAAACAAAACATATGATGCAATTTTAACTGCACCTGGAGTATGAAGTGCTCAAGCAAAAATGCCCTTAAAACGTGAAGTTGCACAGCCCGAAGTCTCCCTTCACCCACTTTTCTGTTGTCTGTCCCCCAAGGAGTGGGTTATATGTAGATCCCTATGATCGGTTCCCCCTTTCTACCCCACAGTGTAAGACATGATAAAATAATAATAATTTACAAATTATCAAGGGTTCAGGAAGGAGGGGTGTTGGGGAGGGAGAGGAAAAAATGAGGAGCTGATACCAAGAGCTCAAGTAGAAAGCAAATGTTTTGAGAATGATGATGGCAACAAATGTACAAATGTGCTTGACACAATGGATGGATGGATGGATGGATTGTGATAAAAGTTGTACAAACCCCCAATAAAATTTTTTTTTTAATTGAGGTTGCACTTTGTGCCAAGCATTACAATGCTCTCTGGATTTACCCTGTCAGTACAGCAGCTAACAAAACAGTTATTTCACTTGGGTAGTGGTTTGTCCTTTTGTACATGGGGTCACTACGAATTGGAGGCAACTCAAGTGAAACTGAAACCTCACTACCGAATTCTGCCTGCAGGTAGCGAATCAAAGGATGTATTGCATTGGGCAAAGCTGCTGCACAAGACTTCTGAAAGTGTTGAAGAGCAGAGATATCACTTTGAGGACTGAGGTATATCTGACTCAGGCCATTTTCAATCTCATATGCATACAAAGAACTAGACAATGTGAATAAGGAAGCCCACAAAAGAACTGATGCATTTAAATTATGGTGTTGGCAAGGAAAGTACTCAGGACTGCTAAAAGAACAAGCAACCTTGTACCGGAAGAAGTACAGCCAGAATGCTCCGTAGCATGGTACAGGAAGGGCCAGTCCCTGAAGACATCATACTTGTATAGTAGAGGAGTAGCGAGAAACAGGAGGACCCTCAATGAAATGGATTGACACAGTGGCTGCAGCAATCAGCTGAACATGATCATAATTCTGAGGATGGTGTCGGACAGGGCGCTCTTTCATTCTGTTGTGCATGGTGCTATGACGAGTCAGAACCAAACCACCACCATCTAACAACAATGCAGGTTATGTTGCTTATATCTTTAAACAGGAGCTGGACTTCTACCAACCCCATGGGCTGTTGGGAGACAAGCTACTCCAAAAGAGAGTTCATCAGTAACTGGACATTTGAACTTTCTTTTTTTTCTTTTTCTTTCTAAAATCATTTTATTGGGGGCTCATACAACTCTTATCACAATCCATCCATCCACCCACTGTGTCAAGCACACTTGTACACCTGCTGCCATCATCATTCTCAAAACAGTTTCTTTCCACCTGAGCCTCTGGTATCAGCTCCTCATTTTTTTCTTCTCCCTCCCTGCCCTCCCTGCTCTCCCTGCCTCCCTTACAAACCATTGATAGTTTATAAATTATTATTTTGTCATGTCTTACACTGTCCAACATCTCCCTCTACCCACTTTTCTGTTGTCTGTCCCCCAGGGAGGGGATTATTTGTAGATCCTTGCGATCGGTTCCCCCTTTCTACCCTACCTTCCCCTTCCCCTCCTGGTATACCTACTCTCATTATTGGTCCTGAGGGGTTTATCTGTCCTGGATTCCCTGTTTCCAGTTCTTATCTGTAGCAGTGTACATCCTCTGGTCTAGCCAGATTTGTAAGGTAGAATTGGGATCATGATAGTGGAGTGGGGTGGGGGGAGGCGGGGATCATTAAAGACCTAGAGGAAAGTTGAATGTTTCATCATTGCTATACGGCACCCTGACTGGCTCGTCTCCTCCCTGAGGTCCTTCTGTAAGTGGATGTCCAGTTGCCTACAGATGGGTCCACTCCACACTCCTCCTCATTCACAATGATATGATTTTTTGTTCTTTGATGCCTGATACCTGATCCCTTCAACACCTCGTGATCACACAGGCTGGTGTGCTTCTTCCATGTGGGCTTTGTTGCTTCTGAGCTAGGTGGCTGCTTGTTTGTCTTCAAGCCTTTAAGACATTTGAACTTTCTTTTTTTTCTTTTTAAAATCATTTTATTGGGGGCTCATACAACTCTTATCACAATCCATCCATCTATATGGATGCTATATCTTTTGATAGCCAGGCACCATCAGCTTTCTTCACCACATTTGCTTATGCACCCACTTTGTTTTCAGCAATCTTGTCGGGAAGGTGAGCATCATGGAATGCCAGTTTAATAGAACAGAAGTGTTCTTGCATTGAGGGAGTACTTGAGAGGCCCAATGTCCATCTGCTACCTTAATACTAAACCTATAAATATACGCACACAGATCTATTTCCCCACCATGTATAAATGTATAAATATATTTACATATGGACATGCCTGTATTTAGGCCTCTATAAATGCCCTTTGCCTCCTATCTCTTTCCTCTATTTCCTTTTACTTTCCTTTTGTTCCACTATCATGTTCAGTCTTAATGTAGTTTTCAGTAATTCCTCTAGGTTACATAGCCCTTGATCAACCCCTATCAGGCCTCCTACACCTTCCTCGCCATCGTTTTTGGATCACTTGTTGTTCCCTAGTCCCTGGTTGGTTAAAACCTACTTTCCTCTGCCTCTCCCTCTCCCATGTCCCCCCAGAACTATTGGTCCCATTATTTTCTCCTCCAGATTGTTTATCCCACCTTTTATATCTAGATAGACCTGCAGAGATAATAATATGCTCAAAAAACAAGATAGAGCAAAACAAAGCAATAAAAGAAAACAAAACAAAAAAACAATGACAAAAAAACAAACAAACGAAAAGCCTGTAAATAGTTCAAGGTCTATTTGTTGACCTTTAGGAGTGTTTTCTGCTGGAATCTGATAGGATGCCACGCCCTGGCCCCAAAGTCTATTTTTGGTATTCCCTGGGGACGTCATTGCTCTGCTCTCCTTGATGTTCTGTTCATTTGAACTTTCTTAACTATACTGGCTGACACTGGTCTTTCTACAAAGCTCTGTAGTGCTCAGGTTGCCAATCTTTTGCTTCTAAGGCCTCCTAAAGTAGAAGACTAGCCTAGACATGAATGCTGTCTGCACAGGCAATTGGAACAAGATAACTTGGCTAAAACTTTTAACATCTCATGTCTTTTGAAATTATTGGCCTGAAAGAAAGCCTTTGGATTTCAGAGAGAAGTCTCAGGCCCCGCCGGATGACTTGGAGGATGTCCAAGACTCTTTGTAGTGATTGAGTACACTGTCACTTAAGACTTTCGGATAGTGCTTCCTGTTCCCCTGTGTCCTCCGTTGTCCTTGCAGGGCTTCAAGGTCATGAAAAAAACTAAAGGAAAAACTGCAGCAGCTGTCCTGAATTTACCAATTCACAAATAGCATGATTTTTTATTCAAAAATTACTAGTAGTGCTTCTTTTACCTCAACATTTTAAATTGCTCATGTGATGTAATGTTAGCATTTATTAAACTACCTGAATTATACTGTCATTCAATTAAAACAATTTTTACCCTCTCATTCTCCTAATAAAATATGTCATTGAAATAACATTTTCAATTTTTTTGTGTATCTCTTTAGTGCTTAACTTGATAATTTTATAGTATCCAAACCAAGGAACATTAGTAGCACAGTGGGTTAAACACTAGGCAGCTAACTGAAAGGGTGTTGGTTCAAACCCACCAGTGACGATGCTGGAAAAAATGAGGCACTCCGCTTCCCTAAAGTTTGCCAAACCCTGTCCTATAGTTTTTCCATGAGTCAGAATCATACCTACTGCCACTGAGTCCATTACAATTCCTAACAATTCAATAGGACTGCCTTCTAGGGCTTCCAAGGCTGTAATCTTTACAGACTCTAGCTGCCACACCTTCCTCCCAAAGAGCAGCTGCTAAGTCCCAATGTGCTGTCTTTAAGTCTTCTTAACACCAGCAGGTCTCAACCTGTGGGGCGAGACCCTTTTGCTTTAATTACGTTCCATTTGTAACAGTGAAAATACATTTTGCATATCAGATATTTACATTATGGTTCATAACAGTAGCAAAACTACAGTTATGAAGTAGCAATGCAAATACTTTTATGGTCGGGGGTCACTACAACATAAGGAACTGTATTAAAGGGTTGAGGTATTAGGAAGGTTGAGAACCACTGCCTTAACCCATAATAAGAACAGAATACACGTTTTTGGAGCTGAAAAGCAGTATGGTGTAACACTTAAGGCAGTCTGGAGCTAGACTGCATGAGTTCAAAATCAACCTTCAATAAGTTATTTAATCTCTGCATTTTTCAAAGCTAACTTTCAAGGTCAA